GATAAATTTTTTAATTGTTTAGAGTCCTTCAAGATAAAACACAAGAGCCAATGGTTCGACATGAGGTACATTTCTTTTACTTTATTATACTGTACACGTAGATGCTGAAACTTAAGTTGAATTAATAAAAATTACCAGTAGTTAAAACTGAATTAAAATTAGACCTGCTCATGTAATAATTTTATTCTAAACTCTCATGTGTAATTGCATGGATTGTTTCTCAGTAGTAAGTAACTGATCCACTAGTTGTAATGTGAACTTTTTGTTTCTCCTAATTTCCAGGCTGGTGAGGCACTTGGTGCCATTGGATCAGCTGAAGTTCTCGATGTCCTGAGGGAGTTTGCCGATGACCCACAAATAGAGGTACTGCCAAAACCAACAAATTGTCAAAAGAAGTAGTAAATAAAGCAGGATGGTCAAAGAAAGAAAATAAAATTGAATGTTAAAAAGAGTTTAAAATGTTTTAGTCAGACTGAATATTTAGACATAAGCCAGATTGCTTTCTACTCCAAAGAAGATCTTCCAAATTAGATATCATTGGCAGCATCGTCTTTTAATGTTTTTGAACTTGGTTCATACCAATTGTACAATTTTAAGCAATGTTTCATCACTGACTGTATTTTATAGCCAGGTATTTTATATAAATTGCATTTTCAGGTGGCAGAAACTTGTCAACTTGCTGTTCAGAGAATAGAATGGCTGAGAGCAAAAAGTTCTAAAGAAAATGGTCAGCTAAGGTTGGTGTTACGTATGTACATAGATTCTAGGTTGTGCATGTTGTCTTGAATAACCTGTGAAGAACAGGTACTGCATGTGATGTTATGTTCATTTGTTTGAGTAAGCTTAAAGCAGGGTGCTTTTCATTTTCATTTTCAAATTAACAAATTTTGTAAAATAATTTATGAGTATTTCTCTTTCAGCTCAAATCCTTATAAATCAGTTGATCCTGCACCTCCCTCCCTAACACTGGACACAAACACTTTACAAAACACATTACTCGATGAATCTTGTGAATTGTTTGACAGATACAGGTACATGACTGTATATTAGTCTTGCAAATGGATAATTAAAGTTTAATTTTTTTTAATGTTTTTTTTTTCATTGTTATTTTTGTTATTCCCAATGTTTTTGTCATTGCCATCATCATCATCATCATCATCAGTAATTTGATTGTGGTTAACCTTTTGACCTTTACTCCTTTAACTCCCAAGATTTGATTAATTCTCCCCTCTTGCTACTACACATTCCTTGTAAATTAGTTATGAGAATTTGGCGTAAGATCAAGACAACAACTTCTACCTGATTAGTTTTCATATTCTTATGGCCTGTTTGTTGGATAATGTATGGATATTTTAAAGAGAAGTTACATGTTAATCACTTCTGGGAGAGAAAGGGTTAAGAGTGACTGGCATCTAATTTCTCCTAAAAGTATCACCCCTTGAATCACTCATTAAGGAAATTATATGATATTTCATTTGATATTTGCTCAGTAAAATTATTTCAGATTCTGACACTGCTCATTGCATACTTCATCAAAAAATTATCGCACAGAGGCAATCGATGCATTTATAATCATTATAAGTTGTTCTTTTTAATGGGTTTTGCAATTTCAGTCTCTCTCAACCTTTGACTCTATTACATGTCTCTTCCTCTTAGGGCAATGTTTTCATTGCGCAACAAGGGAGATACTGAATCAGTGCAGGTAAGTCATGGCTTTTTTGTTGTTTGATAGTTAATATAAGATGTACATATAGTGTAACATTAATTGCACAAAATGTGAGTATTGCACCTCACCATAATCACAATATTTGCATCAATCTTCATTGAGTAACAACTGTGTATACCTGATATACATCATTAAAAAAGAAAGTTACATGATCAAGAGGAAGATAGGATATAACAATGATCATTGAAGTCAAAGGGGGCGACAGTTATATCTTGATGTTTGGTTCTTGGCTTAATCTTTATTTTCTTAAAATTGTAAACTTTCTAAATTAAATTCATTTTTCCTTTTCAGGCCTTGGCTAAAGGTCTTAAGTGCAGCAGTGCATTATTCAGACATGAAATTGGTGAGTTACAATCATAATCATTTTTTTGAATTCAATTCCCTCACTTCAATGAAGTAATTGGAGGAATTTATAAAATCAGGATTCAGTATTTCAGTTGCAGTAACTGTTATGAAACTCAGTAGCTCACGCAATTTGCGTCTGATTCTATCTTTGTAGCATACGTCCTTGGTCAGATGCAACATGAGGCAGCCATTCCACAGCTTATAGAGGTGGGTCATATATTTGCACAACATTGTACAATTTGTCTGTTTGAACATGTTCATTTTGTGGCATAATTTCATCAAAGTCTAGCTTTTCAAGCTCTCCTATTCCACAATTTCCCTTCTTCACTTTGCCATCTGTGGTAACCATTTTGATTTCAAATTCAAATTACTCTTAGCAAGTTCTTCATATGGGGACATTTCTCTGCTAATAAAAAACTGACTTAATCACAATTTTTTCATCAATAGAATCTTGAAGATTTAAATGAAAACCCGATGGTGAGACATGAATGTGCCGAGGCACTTGGTTCAATAGCTAAGGTTTGTACATTGTATGTTGGAAGCAATTAATTTAGTAATTTAAATGATATTAAGATTTTACGCATTTTCTCATAGAGAGAATTCCACGTACACGTAGTGTTCATAATTATCATGCAATTAGCAATTACCAAACGGTTTAGTTTTATGAAAAATAAATAAGACTAAGCCTTAAAATGTTGCATGAAAGAGGTGAGATTTTGTGCATGGCTTAAAAAATTGCAATTATTATATTTTTAATTTCCTAATAACTGTCTTACAATAGTTGATTCCTATTTCAATACCACTCAAGTGAAAGAAGGTTCACTGAGGATAGCTAAAGATTTGAAAGGTGGATGACTTTCGTAAAGGAAAGTCCAATTTTTTTAATTCCTAAGTACTTCAATAGGGTTATGGTGGAATCTTTCCATAATTTAAAAACCCTTCATCAACAGCCTTTCAATATGAATTGTTCATTTCTTTCAGTAACTACTAATTTGTGATTGTTTCTTCTCAGGATCAGTGTTTAACAGCCTTGGAAAAGTACTCAAAGGATCAAGAAAGAGTTGTGAAGGTTTGTGTCCTCTTTGAAAATGTTTATCACTAAAAGTGTAATTTTAACATTCAAACAGCAGTGTAAGTGTTAAATCTACTCTTTCTTTTCCTTTTTCAGGAAAGTTGCGTCGTGGCTTTAGACATGTATGATCATGAGCACAGCAGTGAGTTTCAGTATGCTGACTCACTTGTCAAAATCAGCGAACAGTAAAAAATGGACATAAAAAGTTGCCATTAATAGATGATGTACATCATCATGGCCAAGTGAACTAGCAACCAGGAACTTCAGACAAGCTCTTAACCCTTTAACTCCCAGAGGTGATCAACATGAAACTTCTCCCTATATTCTTACATTATCCAGTAAATAGGTAATGAGAATCAGGTAGAAGTTGCCATCTTGATTTAACACCAAATTCTCATTACTAAGTTACAAGGAAATGTGTAGCAGCCAAAGGGGAGAATTAAGAATCTGATCTTGGGAGTTAAAGGGTTAAGAGGCTTCTCAACTGCCACATTGCCACAATGCTGTTAAAGATACTATAAGGAGAGTCAAAGATTAAGAGAGACAATGGTTCTGACTGAGTATCTGACACTTGTATCTAATTTTTCCTTACAATTTCACCCCTGAATTACACATTTAGGTCACTAGAATAAAGGAAATAATCTTTAACTTAAGAAACTGTTGATTGTGAAACAAATTCTCCTTGTCAGCACCTTCAGAAATGTATAGAGAACAGTATGGAGAATATGTATACTGATCTCTGTATGTAAAGGCTTATTATAGCTTCCTCGCCCCATTTTCTTGGAAGATAAAATCGTTTCTGTTCAAACAAGTACTTCTCCACGACAGTGTCTGTTAGTGTGTGTCAGATTTTTGGTCACCAGAAGGGAAAAAAAGACCTTTGCTGTTTCCTCTTGCCTAGCATCATATGCCAGTTTTAACACTTGTCTCTGCTGACCTGAAACTGGCCAGGTGACCAACATCAACAACATTACCACCACCAAAGAACTCACATCAGACAAACATTCAATTCTGAATAAAGTTAAATTGTTATTACTTAATAAATATTGTCCATCTCAAAATTTTAAGATTAATATAATGGTAATATGACTGAGTGAAGTCCAATTCAATCTGTAATCATATGAATGATTAACAAACTAGGCCTACTGCAAAATTGGAGACTGATTTGTTTATCATGAGTATGATTACAGACAAAATTGGACGACAAAAACTCTTGTTACCAATCAATCAAAACTACGACAAAATTTGAGACGGAACCAGACATCTGTTATACGTATTCATGAAAAAAAAAAAAACATCAGTTACCTCAGCAAGATGTAAGACAACAGCAAGCACACATGACGCATTCTGTCCACTTACATAAGCATGGTGTTTTACTTTCCCTTTAAACTGTGCTATTAACACTGTCCAATCACAAGCATGAAGCATACACCATCCTATTACTGCCCAAATGGGGCAGGTGATAACCAATCATGTTCCAGAATTTTGTCATAGTTTTGATTATAAGTTAAAAAGAACAGAATTGCATCATAATGAACAGATAAAAAACATATACCTCATTTATTAAATGAGAACAGGTTTATGAAAGGACATGTTTATCACTTGAATAGGAAAAATGAAACAGAAATTAATTCAGGAAGTCCATTTATTCCAAGTAATCCTTCGAAATATAAATTTGCAGACTCAAGTAAAAAGGAAATACATGGCATTTAGTGAACTATTAAATTGTTGCCAAATGTATTAAGGTTCAAGCAAAACCCATGCACCATAACATGAAAGTTATATTGTTTTCAATCAGTTTCCAGCACTGTTGAGTGTGTACATTTGTCTTTTCCCTATCCTTCATACAGTGCAATAGTTATGATGTTAAAACTTAATAATGCATGCTGGCCAACAAGACCTTCATTTTGTTCAGTTTTCGTTCTTGAAGAAAACAAAATGGTCTAATCTAAAAGAGTTCTTGCTCAAGACTCAAGGTTTGATCAGCAAACATGGCAGAAAGTTATTTGCCTTATCTTTTCATTGTAACAATGTCCAATAAAAGTGTGTTGTATCTTCATGTGAAACCATTGCTGTGCTTAGTGATGACAGTTTGTTCTTTGAATCCATGGGGTGTGATCTGCATGTTAATTCCCCATCTACATATTACACAATTCCAAGCAAACCAGTGATGATACTGGGGAGACTGTAGTGAAACAACACCAAAATTCTCCATAACAACCAGGAAAAATACATAGACACCAATGAGGAGAATAAGCTTTCAGAAATTGACAGTGAAAGGACTGATTAAGCCTCATGTAAATCACTGGTAAGACAATTTCCTCAATCACTGGCTGTCAGCACTGCCATTAAAAAAAAGAAACTTGGTGTCACTAACTGATTTCTTTCTGTTAAAATATTAAATAACTTCCCTTGGTACAATTTGTTTGCACCTCATAACCAAAGAATATGAGTTTTCTACTTTAGCACTTATTGCTATTAAGAAAAAAAAATAATACTGATACAGAAATCAAAACTAGTAAAGTTAAAAAAAAGGTTGGTAACTTCTGTCTAATGATCCCACAGCCCCCAAAATACAGCCTGTTAAATTAGAAAAAGACTACAATATGCCCAAACTTAAATGCAGAAGTTTCAAAATTAGTTGTTGCAGACCCTGGCAGCACTGTACGCTAATCCATCCTCAGTGTAAAATATATATGATTTTAACCAGAGCATCACCAAACTGAAAAAAAAAGGGAAAATAAAACAATAAATTACATAAACAATGGTAACAGAATAGAGTGGAGTAAAATTAGGGGACAATCAAGAAAAAATGTGACCTGAGCAGTTTTTTTTTTCCTTTTTCATACCCTTCAGCATACCCAGGATCTTTCAACACAATCTTATAATTGGAATAAAGTGCCAGTTAGTACCTCAAACCTCTTAGCTGACTATGCTTGAAGGGACAAAGAGTGGCAACTAAAACAGTCACTGATCCTCATAATTAGAAGATAAAACAATCTCCAACTAAACATGTCAACAAAAAGAAGAGCTCATCACAGGAAACCTATACACTGAGAATCAACTTTACATCAACTCTAAAATCACTTTATCAGAGTTGATGTAAAAGCTCTTGCATGCACATATGCTAAGGCTAGACTAAGTGTAATTGCATTAGCAAAGTATGATGTAGTCTGGAAGTTCAGTCTAGACAACCAAGCAACCTTCTATACCATAAATAACAGCTCACAAAGCATGAAGAGGATTTTTGGTGTCTAGGTTTAAGGGAATGCATAACAACTTTAAGAAGCATGCAAACATAAGAATCAGCTGCAAATACATTATTCTTACCATGTTGAACATTACGCACTAGCCAGCTCTGGAGGCAGTGCTGCTTTAGGGTGCTTGCTCTCAAAGTGTTGTTTGTAAGTTTTAGGGTCAGGCATCTGTGACTGAATTCAAAAGATAACCTTCTCAGAAATCATACTTTTCAGATATTCAGGCTTCAAAATTTCTTAGCTGTGTTCATTACTTTGAATAAAATTTTTTATTTGTCTTTGTCCACTGGCATACATGTAGGTTCTCAACATGAAACCTTGACCCCTTATGTTAGGTTAATAACTTCTTAACTCCCAGGAGTGACCTAGAGAGAATTTCTCCCTACATAATCACTTCAATATCAAGCAGACAAGTAATGAGAATAGAGAAAAATGTTAATAAAGTGATTATTAGTTGATCCAATGCCAAATTCTCAGAACCATCACCATAAGTATTGTAGTAGAGCAGACAGAGGGGAGAATTAAAAATGAGATCTTAGGAGTGAAAGGGTGAAAAGTCAGCATTTTCTGTACCTTGCATACAGTGCATGTGAACACTAACGCCTTCAGTGCTGCTGACTTTTGATCATGTCCTTGGGCTTTCTTCAACTTCTCCTGCTTCTGAGCATTTTTCTGTTGGGACTGAAACTTTTGGTGACCACGAGCCATTTCGAACTGATAAAAATTATAAAATAATATTAGCAGTCATTGATTTACAGAATTTTCTTAACAATGCAGTATGGTAAAGGTAATAATTATTATGATCATATCCATTTGTTATGTAATTATTTCTCTCTTGGTGTCTCAATTGGGAAAATTTCATTATTTATTTATCACATGGTTTTCATATTGCTGTACTTCTGCTCAGTTTTGGATCACAGAGGACATCAAAATGTGGTAAGAACAGCTGTACAGAGCCACTCCAACATGGAATCTATTGATTTTACATAATACAGAAGCAAATGTCAATAGCGATGTCATCCATGTGTCTGTCCTCCTATAGATCATAGGTAAGAACCAATCAGAATGCGCACGTACAGTAGCCCATTTTACAGCGGTTTGCCAAGCCTTTGAATAGGAGTGAGGCTATAGTTGATCCTGTTATGATACAAACCTTGCTGCTTTTCAAATGTAAAGTACTTTGATACCATGCTAACTAGATACTGGTCTCTAACAAAACATAGTCACCTTCAGCCTCGCTCTAAAACAAAGGCTAGGCAACTAAGTACACAACTGTAAAATGGCCTATTCCAGCTTATCAGATAATTTCATATGTTTTCTTTTTTATCGTTCCATACGCGTGATTTTAATTTGGCCAAAAAGTCTTTCTCAAAAATCGGTAACCTAAAAATCTAAAAAATGACTTTCCAGTCCAACTAATTTAAAAAGAGACATCTAGAGGCACACTCTGTGTCTTTGTAAAAAGGCAGTGAAAATGAGGGTAGAAGTCTGAGTCAATACAGCAAATCAAATAATTCCGGTACCAATACTTAATCTGGTTTGAAGTCCAAATTGTTCGAGTAAGCCAACTGATCATGCTAAAACCAAAATCATGACCATCATTAAAGGTAGTACAGTTTATTCTATCACCGGTTAAATATGAGAAAACACTACTAATTCTGAACTACGGAAACGACGGCCATTTTTGGCCCCGACTTAATGAATTCTTTGAAATCAAAACTTTCAAGCTCTTTCTGGGCATCTTCCACCTACCCCCAAAAGAGAAAATATTTAAAAATTTATTTTACTGGTACCTACCTCAAAATATGTTGGTGATTTATCCTAAAACTGAACGGCAAATAAAAACAATTTACTAAGCATGTACCTTTCTACGCTCTTCGTCGATTCGAATGAATGACGTCACAGTATCCAAACTTCTTTCCAGGCTACCCACAAGGAACGCCTCATAGAAATGTGACTCTGAGGTGTCTTCGTCCAATATCATCGAGTGGAAGATCTGGAGAAATTGAAATCAGGATTGGAAATTCAACCGCAGGGCAGGTAGTATTCCTTTTGGTAACAGAGAGGATATGAAAAGATTTATGGGCTCTAGTTTACTTTTTGCACCTTAAATGAATTCGAGCGGCTCTTAAACAGCACGTGAGGTGATAGTACTATCGCCAGTTTGTGTAACCATCTGACAGATGTTTGATGCTTGGAAATTGTAAGATCATCGCGTTGAAAAGATGAACCACAGGTCTAATTACTTAGCTGCTCGCGCAGTTTTATCTCCTGCGACTGTTTTTCTTCTTTGTCATCTTTGGCGCGCGTTTAAAAAACTCTTATTTGGAGGTTGTATTTGATCCAATAATAATTGGTGACCAATCAGCTGATACATTTCATTGAT